TTTCACAAGATTACATTGATTCCCCCAACAAACATAACAGAGTTAGTTCACCATATTCATTGGTGACCTAGATGAATTAATGAAAAAGAATGAAAGAATAACCCTATAAAAAGGGAGTGACGAGGAAGCCTCAGCACCGAGATCCTCCTTCAAAGGGGTGGAAGAGGAGAGTGTTTGCACTCGTTTCTGCAAAGATGCCTAACCCTAGGAACCCAAAGCTTATATACCATTCGTAAATACAAAAAAAGTCAAGTCCAAGCCATTAAAGTGCCGCTCAGCGGTGAAGTGGTGACTGTTTTCTCCCCTCAACAGCGGCCATTTTGCCCATCTCAAGCGGACCTCACGGTGACTTCCAGAGTGCCGCCTCAAAAGCGGTTTTAAAACTGCCGTTAGCGGTGACTTCGGTTCTCCTTTTTGCCCAACGTTTTGTTGTCTTTCTTTTCTGATTTCAACTCTCTACCTTCTTAACTTCTTTCCACCAAATCACCTTAAAACCTGAACAGAAACACTGGTGTAATCAAGCTAACCTGTCCAGCTCTCATTTCTTAAACTATCAATTAAAAGCATGATTTCAACTAGTTTTTAAGTGTAAAGTTGCTTTTATATGAATTTTAAGCCATGAAGAATAACAGTTTTTCAACTGTTATCAGCACCATTAGATAGTGCCTCCAAATCTTCAAGGCAAACACAATCACTGTCAACTTCAAGTCACGAGTAGGATAATTCTTTTCATGAACCTTAAGTTGCCTTGAAGCATAATCAACCACCTTCTTTTCCTGCATCAACACACAACTCAGTCCCTAGTAAAGGCATCATAGTAAACCTCAAAAGGTCTACCTATGTCAGGATCACCGACCACCAGAGTACTCGTCAACCTCTGCTTTAGCTCTTGAAAGCTAGACTCGACTAGCCCACTAAACTAGCAGCTGGAGAAGAGAACCCCATATACTCACGAGAAGGAGGTCTAGAGTAAAGTGTCCTCATAGCACTAAAACTGCTCCTATACCTAGATGGTCCACCAACCCTCAAAGAAATAAGGATATTAACTAGACATAACTATGAGTACATAACATAAGCATAGTACACTCATAACTTACAAGATTCTTAAGGAAAGAACTGCTATGATACAAAAAATGTAACATCCCAAAATATAGCATCAAACTATATATATAATAATCATCACATGTTTAATATAAAAGATCAGTTAGATGAAGGACCATAAAGTATAATTTACAGTCATCCAAAATAACCATAAATTTAAAACTTTATATACAATATAGTTGTATCAAAACTATACACAGGATTGGTGATCTCAACCACAAAATAAAACATAAACTAAACAGATGAAGCTACTACTACTACAATGGAGCATTAGAAACATCTTCACCAAGGGCCTGCTCAATTGAAATATCATCACCCTCTACTCACATCTATCAGATGATCATAGCCTAACCAACCAAGGAAACATAACAACAAACACAAACAAAAGGGTAAGCTAGATTCAAAGACAATTCATATAAATCTAACACATTTCATACAAGAATCAATCATAATATAATTAAAAATCAAAACATCTTAATCATACAATGACCTAGACTGGATTGTTCAGAACTAGAATGAATGTTGAGCTATGGTGAGTTATGCACTTGTGGTGGCCACAACTGCATTGCAAAGCCCTTGCCAATTGGGTTTCACTCTACCATACATCACAAGGTTAGTTTGTATCGCGTCATAGGCCATACTAGAAGCAGCTAGACTAAGACCTCTTATTGCTCTCACGACATGCGTCCAACTTCTCTATGTGAGAATGTATGACCATTAGAGTATTAGGAAAACCCCAAATACTGAGCTACTTGCATTCATTCTAACACACTTGAACCATACCAAGAAGTTCCACCTTGGAACAAACCTTCCAAATCTTGAAATCATTTGAAACCATATACATATGTCCATACACTTTCACATTTGAATACCAACATATATCATCACTGATCATGCATCAGAGTAACATAAATAACCCATTAAATTATCATAAAACATTTAAAACATAAGTATAGAACCAATCAGGGTGGCGCTTAGGCATCCAGAAGCTGGTGCTCAGCGTTGGCGCCCTAGCTTCTGTTTTCTAGCGCTAAGCGTTGGCACCCATGGAATGGTGGCGCTCAACGCCGTGTTTGGGCGCTCAGGCGCTATCAGCGCAACTTTGAACTTTTTGGATCACCACACTTACTTACCCCCACAACTTTGAATGGTTCCTAGGACCTTTAAAACATTCAAAAACCGCTGGAATCACCACTCTAACTCAAATTGACCCCTTGAAACCAAAATCACTTCTCTAAGGTATCCAAACTCAATTCTACACCTCCTAACTTCCATATAAGTTTCCAAACTGCATAACCAAGTTCAAACACGCCATATAGCACACTACAACACCGCAAATTACTCACAACTTGCCCATTTCAAGTTTTCACCATGTAAAACCCCAAATTTGAACTAAAAGCGCCTAACAACTCACCCTAAGATGACCCTAACCATTATAAACCAGATTTTTCTCATTTAACATCTTAAACAAGTCTTAATAGGTCTAATAACATACGTCTAACCTCCCGAAACAATTTATACTCATTGCTTCAAAATCTCACCACTCAAAACCCCCTTTTTACACTAAAAACACTTCAAAACTTCCACTATGAACTACCTTTTATTTACATTTCAGATTTCAATAACAAAATACTTCTAACAAGTCTTAAATTACCTCATGATAACACCTAGACAATAGTTTTATCATATCAACCCCAAATTCTGAAACTCACCTATCAAAACCCCCTTTCTAGTCTTAAAACCTCAAGTAAAAATGAGTATTCTTCAATTCAACACTTTGCCTTTCATTTCAAACCATTATACATCTTCATCAAAGATAATCAAAACAATAGCAACATGTTAATTACTCTATACCAAACATTCAACATTCATAAAATCAATTATCATAATAAAAAGACAAATTGTATTAACATCAACTTAGATATTTTCACTAAAATTAATTGATCATTCAAATAAACAATCATTTTCACATCACAAACATAATCTAACAAGGTCTAGCTTCCCTTACCTCACAAGAAACTGTCTGACTCTAAAAACGTACTGCCGATTGCTTGAAACGCAAGGGATTTTTAGATGAACCTACGAAACACCAAATTGGAAGCGAACAAAGTCCTTAAGACTTTAGATTAACCAAGAACGAGTAGAAGAAGCAAGATCACACATGTAACGATACTTGATTCTTATAAAACACAGGTTAGGAACAAAAGAGGAAAAAAGAGTTGAAACTTTAGTTGCTCTATGATAGAAATTGATTGGCTAGATGTGAAGATAACTCAGCTGTGATCTCCTAGGAACTTCTTGATCATCAAACAAATGATCAAGGGATGATAAATCTTAGAGAGATGTGAGAGGAAACAAAGAGAAAGAGTTTTAAAGAGATAACCGGTGTTTTAAGTAATGAAACGAGTTTAGAAAATTCTATTTATATTTTTCAATTATTATAAAATAAAATAATCGATCTCATTATTTTAAAACATGTACCAACTTTAATACTCTATTTTATAGTTTATTACATTTATCACCAAACAAACATTTTAGTATCAATATATCACTCTTTCATAAGAAAATAAAAGAAAAGAAGCATAAACTCAACATATTAATTGGGTGACCAACGCTAAAACACTGGCGCTTAACGCTTAAACTCACCACTTAACTCCCTAAAATCAGAGAGCTCACCGATTTCGTGGCCCTCAGCGCCAAAAGTGACACTCAACATTCTAGAGCCTAGAGGCTCTCGGGTTTGACAACACCGAGCATCACACCAAATTCCCGTCTAAAAATCATCCATTAACCAAAACCAATACATGTTATCAATTACTCATCAAATTAAACATCAAATTCACTACATTTCAACCATTAATACAAACTAAAAGATCTCTAGATAAAAAATAAAAAATAATAGTTAGTTTCCTTTACGTAGTAAAAAAGCTTATACAACTCTAAAAAGTAACTACCCTTGACTTAGCTAAAACCACTTTATCTATACCTACAAACCATAGAATTATGATCAGGGTAGATCTTTAAGGCCATTGATCGACAAAGAACTAGAAAAAGAGATTGAGTGGCACATGCGTTCAATCTATTTGCATGTGTGTTAAATTAAAAATCAAAAGAGAAAAATGAGTAGAAATTGACTTACTCTGTATGAAAAATTGATTAGATAAAGGAGAATAGCTCATTACAGTGATCGTCTAGGTACCTCTAATTGTCAAAGAGATGACTCAAGAGTTAGAAATCTTAGAGAAAATGGAGAGAAAACTCAGAGAATGAGTTTTAGAAGAATGATAAATATTTTAGATAATGAAACGTGTTTGTAAAATTCTATTTATATTATTTAATTATTTTATATTTAAATAATTGATCTTATTATTTTAAAACACCTATAAACTCTTATACTTTATTTTATATGTTCTTATATATATTTTTTTAGTTAAAGAAACAAACAATTATATAATTATTAATATCAAATTAAATATTTTCTCAATTCTTCTATACTCGTTATTATTATTATTATTCTTTGAAACCAGTGAACTAAGTAATTAAAAAACTAATTTTCCTTATATCTTATCATAATGACTCTTCTTATGTTAAAAGAAATAAAATTTATTATTATTATTTTTAGATTTCATTCATTAAATTAAATTTTTATTTTATTTTGTATATTTTTTATATTTTTATTACATTAAAATAGTAAAATTTTATGAAGAAAATAATTTTAAGAGAATAATAATTATTTTTAAACAAGTAAGCTATGTTAATATTTTGTGATATAGAAATTGTATAACTATTTTTTTATTAGAATAATTATTGGTTTTTATTACATAATAGAATTATTTAATTAAAAAGTAACAATATAAAAATTAGTTTAATAGATACATTATCAAAGTGAAGAACGTATAAAATAATTTGCCAGACAGACGGGAGGCAAAAGAGAGGAAGAGCTAACCCACAAGTGGTGGCGCGCCACTCACTGCCACCAATTCCATCTTCTATTTCCGCCCTGAACAATTTACAAGTAAGGTAACAGTTAACAAACAGTTTCACTCACTCTCCTCAAATGCATGGAGGAGGAACGACAACAACCGCAGGTTCCTCTTTCCATTGACTGGGACCAACAATTTCAACACGACTCGCCGCCGCCGGAGGTCGTCATCGTGCCGTCCTCCTCCATGGCCTCTGATCAGGACGACCTCAGCGCTCTTCCTGATCACAAACTGAAGGAGTCGATTCAGAGCATGAAGAGAACACTCGACGTTACTGGCAAGAATTTGCCCGACAATGGCGCCAAGCTTCGCGCTACCATCGACCGCTACCAGAAGGAACTTAGTCGCCGGGAATTGATGCGTCTTCGCCAGGTTCTGCTTTCTCGGTTTTTGTCATGTGGTGTTTGATTGAACTATTTATTTTCTAGGGTTTTTCCAATAATTTGTTTGTCTAATTTGTGTTATTTGTTTTTTTTTTCGTTGCGTTTAGTTTGATTACTTATGTTTTGTCTGTTTTTTGGTTTTCCTTTGTAGAACAGGAAGTTGATGGGGACCAGAAGCCGCAGCCCGAACAAACTACAAGCTCAAGTGCTGCTACCAAGGGTAGGTTTTTTCCCCCTTTTGTATTGCGATTTCTGCGATGATTTAACGCTGGAGTATGTAGGATTGTATTTTTTTACATGGCAATGGTAGTTAAATGGAACGCATAATATGGTTGAAACTTGAAAGTCAAGCTTGGTGTTGGTGGGGAATCTAATGATATTTTCTGACAACTCCAACAAAGTGACTGTTGAGACTGATGTATATGTGTATTTTAGTGCAATGATCTTCTGGTATGCAATGGCAATGGCGTAGTATTTGGGTCCTGCTATTATTGATTCTATGGTAAAAAGATGGGAAAAATATCTTGTTTTAAGTCTACCAAGTGTCATTTTTGTTCATTCTTGGAAAAAGAAGAAATTGTTGTCCTTATGAGATTACAAATATCAACATTGGAACCCTGATGTTTTGGCATTTATACCTGTAATGGTTTTTAATTGTGCTATAGTGGGATTGCGTCGCAGATATGCTTTTGGGCAATTTGGAATTCAAATGGCGTTTTGGTTTTGAGTAGTAGAGAAAGTACGGTATCCGGTGGCTGGAGCAGTTGCAACTCTGTCTAGCAGCAAAAGCTCTAGTTCAGCTGGGTAGTTGTGATATCAAGGTAGGGCTTTTTAGGGAGTAATTTTGTGAATTTTCCATGGCCCCATATTTTTTAGTCAAGTAGAGGTTTCAAATGAAACCATACTTTTCCCGCACTTGTCCGCATTCTGTCATAAACACTCATCCTTCTTGGGTAACTCTTTAGCCATCCTTGACTTCCATGGCATTCTAGCTCTATTTTGAATGTCTGTTCTCAATAGTTTCCATCCATTGCTGACCTGTGTAACCACATTTAGGCATTCCTTGTTCGTATTCTCTAGCGTCTCTTACACTGTGCTTTAACTTGTATCTAAACTTGAGTCCAATGTAAGTAAAATAGTGGAAGGAGCTCATTAAAATCATGTAAGACAGCATGAAGCTGTCTAAGATAAGCAAACAAGACCATCAAGATGTCGTGGAGCAAGAAGCATTAAGAGATCTTGGCACACAACATACAAACGTTGTGTGGTGCCATTGGTATAAAGGACACAAACCTCAATCCAAATTGATGCACGTCTCGTGGGGACAAAAATTAGGTTTGAGTGAGGTGTGAATAGTGGATTTAATAATACTATGGAGTTGAACATCGATCTTTATCCATTGTTCTCAATTTTCTGTTGGAACGGATTCAACAGTTGTATTGAGATGTGATTTGTCATCAAACCCACTTAACCATAACCCGGTTTTGGAAGCCCAAGTGGGATAGTTAGACTTGTCCATCTTCTCAATACTAACAATATGATTAGAAAAGATGGGAGAATATGTTCTAGAGGTTGATGTGATATTGGGAGACATTTTTTTTCTACAAAGCTGAAAATAATAATAGTAAACAGCATGAGAACTTAATGTCTATATAAGGACTTGTGAAGTTGATGGTCATAAGACTTTCTGAGTAACAGAACTTGGAGGATGCTCCATGTAAACTTCTTTATTAAGATTGAAGTGCAAGAAATGATTTTTAATATTCAATTGGTAGAGATTAATGGCGAATGACAACCATGGAGAATAGTATGATAAAAACAATTTTACCGACTAGAAAGAAAATATCAATATAGTCTTGCCCATACATATGGGTGTAACCTTTTGCCACTGGATAACCGTGAAATGATCACTGTTTCCCTTACTACCAACTTTAGGGGTGTAAAATAAATCACGCCCAAAAGCAAACATGCCTTGGGAAAGAAGAGCCAAATCCCATCTGCCACTACTTTGGGGTGCCCATGTCTTGTTAATCATTGTTTACTTCCATTTTGGATGAGATATGCTTCACTTGAAGAGTTAGGGGTAGACATAGAAGACTAAGAAGAGGGGAGAGTATGATAATGCAAAGAAGAAAGGCAATGATAGCTAAGACTAACATAGTGAGGAAGTGCGTTGCAAGTGGAACAAATATCTTTTCGTGGAGCCATGCACGCATCAATGTTTGGTGGTAGGCTTAGATTTAGTAAAGAAGATGGAAATGGTGACGTGTATGGAATGACCTTTGCTATGTTTTCACAAATTGTCATAGAGGATGGTGTAATATTACTAACAGGTTGTTGCTGATGTTGATATGTTTGAAGGGGTCTCATAATTGGGGGCTTCATTGGGGGAACACCATGGTGAACCTCAAACTCATCATGAGAAACAAAAGAAAGTGAGGGCAAGAGTGGGGTACTAACTCCACATGTCAAAGAAGAGTGAGAAGACTCGTAATAAGGGTAGCATATATTAATTGAAATGAAATACCTTTTGAAGGGTAGGAGAGAAACACTAATAACCTTTATATGATCATATATCTTAAGAAGGTATATTTGATAGATCACATTGAAGTTTTGTCAAGGCCTAGATTCAGATTATGAACAAAGCAAGTGGAGTCAAAGACATGAGGAGGAAGTGTATGAAGAGGTGAATAAGGAAATGGGACATAATGAGGAACTTGTCATTTAGGACAAAGAATGACATGTGATTGATGAGGTAGAAGACTGAAAGTACAATGTTTCCCAAACAATAGGTGGTAGCATAATCGTGGATGGGAAGAGTCAAAATGGTTTCGAGAGATGCCTATTTCCCCCCCTTAATCAGCCCCTTTTTGTTGAGGTGTGTGGGCATAAGATATTTGATGAATGCCCTTTGGCACTGTAAATTGTTGAGGTAAAATTCATGTGCATTATCATTTTGATGAAAGCATTGGTATACCACATACAGGTAAAGCTAATGGGGTAAATAATTCAAGTTATTACATTACATGGTGGTTGCGAGTGGTATAAACTTATTTATATTAGCCATTCACAAATATAGGATATCTAAGTCAAAAGATTATATGCCTATAAGCCACTATTGTTTCCATAAATATAGAATTAATGATTTTGAACAATTAAAATACCTGACTTTTATATTCTAAGAAATGATTGTTTTTGTAGGTGTGTCTAATGACTTGAGAGAAGAGACTTTGTCATCTCAAGTTCAACCGCTATCCATTTTTACATCTTACTTTGTTAAAAAAATGGAAAATAGTGTAAGGTCCTTTGCATAATTTGTAAATACTCAATTTTTTTCCTTCTAACTCACCTGAGATTACATTACCTGACTTTAATTTGTTAAGCAGACTAGTTGTACAGCTTCCGATGCATTTAAAAAAGAGATATCACATTTCAAACTTTGTGAGAACCAGAAAATGCAAGAAAATGCAGCTTCTGATGCATTTGGAAAAGAGACGTCACATTTCAATCATTCTGACAACCGGAAAATACCAGACCGTGGAACCTCTAGAAGAAGAAAGAGACATCGTTCATCATCAAGACAATTGCCGTTTCAGTGTCCTAGTAAACTTTCTAAACATGATACTTTTAGTGATGATAAAACTTGTAGAGCAGCTTCCACTTTTTCTCTGCGGAATATTGGGAGAAATCTGTCAAGATGCTACCCAAAAGTGTAAGTAAAAACATCTTGTGGTTTTTCATTCCAGTGCTTTTTGGAATGGTAACATTAATTGTTTTGCCATCGTTATTTTTCTTGAAATGTATTTTTTGTGGTTCATAAAACTTATGTTGTGCATTTTAGACTGTATGCCTATTAGATATATGCCTTGGGGTGTATCCATTGGTTTATGAGGTTGTGTATGCTTTTAAATTTGGTTTGGTATCTATGGATATTTGAGGATGCACAATAAAGGCTAGTCCATTTCATCCATATGCACAAATGGTATTTTTCATTCTCTCCATGTGATTCCAATGAATTTTCAATGGTACTTTGATCAGGGATTTGAATTTTAATCCTTTATTTGTTATAAATTCTTAGGGGCTGAGAGGAATTCTGCCATGCTATTCCAAGTATTCCATAGTGTTGAAGTGTCACTTTGGATAACTAGAGGATGATTTATTAATATCTATCTGAGCTATTTTTATGTCACAGGAACGGATTAGTGTAACTTATGATCTTTCATACTTAAATTAGTGCATTTATGATATTTACTACAAAATATGAATGTTAACTGCGCTGTGTATTGCAATTATGTTTCACTCCTGTTGTGTACAAAGTTTTTGTTCAAAGGTCATCACATCGTCATCATTTACTACAGAAAATTATTCATATGATTTCCTCTTCCGCACCCTTTTCTATTTATGTTGAAGATGATGGTGATATGGCTTGTTAGTTTTGGCTCTAGCTAGGTTTTCTGAATGAATTCATAATGTTGGATCCTTATTTACTCGTTACCCACATGCTAGGAAGGACGTTTCTCAGGCAATTCAATTAGATGGCTCAAGGTCCAAGAAGGTGTGTCTATTTTTTCTTATATATCCATTCAAATTATAGTTAGCTCAGTACACGTGGCTGTTGTAGTTGTTGGTTACAAAAAGTTCTAAATCCCAATTTAATCAGTAGTTTGTTGATGATTTGACACGTCTTTAGCTTTACCAGTATTTACATTTTTTAAACAGGGTCAGCCCATTGTTCTTGATGTTGATGACGATGACGATGAGGCTCATATTGTGGAGAAAACTGAAAACCAATTTCCTGAATAGTAAGTGAATATAGTTTGCTTTAATTTTTTGTTTATTTGTTTCATCTTCTGCCAAATTCCCATAAAATTCTTTGTATTATTTGATTCCTGTCCATTTCTTTTCAGCCTGAAAGACGCTAAGATCTATTTTCCATCAAGGTACTTCTAAAGAATAATACAATAAAATGGTCATTCAACTATAATTTTTTCTTATTTGCTTTGCATGACCTGTCGAATTTTCTTGTGATGGTTCAGAGATGATCCAGAGTGTGTAGAAATTTGTTACAAAGACACAGATTGCCTTGCCCCTGAAGGCTATTTAACATCAACAATAATGAACTTCTACATTCAGTAAGTCTAGTTGTTAGCCTTCTCTAGTTTCTCATTTGCTTGTCCTTCTAAAAGAGTTTCATTTTGTGATGAAGAGATAGCTGCATAATCGTGTTATCTTCTTTCTTTTATTACCCTGAACTCTTTGTATTTAATTTTAAATTGATGGAAAAAAACATAAATCAATGCATGCTTGATTGATAGAGCATTGAAGAAGAGGATTGAACATTTTTGGTTCTTAAATAAATTATAGGGGATTGTCTATGCTTATTTTTAAATTTCTGCTAGAGTTATTTAGTCTCTTCATGTTTTGTTGAATATAGTAAAAACTATGAATGAGATTAATCTCTCTTGTATTGAATATACACATATAATAAAAGAAATACGGGCTAAGCCCAAAGTATAAATAAAAAATAATAACAAACTAACTAAAGATAAAAGATAAATATAAAATAAAGATAATATATCTAACACTCCCCCTCAAGCTAGTGCATACAAATTGTATGTACCAAATTTGTTACTAATATAATCCATAAAGACTTAGTGAAAATATCTCCTTTTGCACTCGAGTGACATCAAATTGCTAATGATTTGTAAGATAAATCTGGGAGGTTGCTCCATGTAAATCTCTTATTGCAAATCGCTGTTGAGGAATGCATTGTTGACATCCTGGATAAAGAGGTCATTGTTGGGGAGCCACCACAACTATAAATAAACTAACAAAAGCCATCTTTTCCATGGGAGAAAAAACATATATGGACGGGTCAAAAGTAATGGTGATAAAAAGGAGGTTAGAAGAGACGACAATGGAAGAAGCCATGGATGAACAAGAGAGAGAAACCATAAAAATCCAAGATTCACCAATCAAGGCACCTGATAAAGGAAAAAAAGAAACCTTGATGCTTTGAATAGTTGCCCGAGAGGAGATGGGACGTGCGATAATGCATGATGAACCTGAAAGAGGAAAACGACGCTCTGAATTGCTACTAGCTAGCCACCATGCACGACGGAAAAGAGAGCAAATCCACAGAGCGCATAGGAGCTTCGATGAAGGCATCGTTGATGGCATGGTGGTCGCTTGGCCAAGACAATCAAAAGCCGAAACTAGAACTTCGGTAATGACAGTGATAGACGGTGGCGCCGTTGGTAGCAGTAGATGGTGCCGCTTCCAGTAGCAGCGGGTGTAGTGACAACAAATTTTTTTTTTTCCTCAAAAGAACCAAGCTTTGATACCATGTAAAATGTAGTAAAATCTATGTATGAGATTAATCTCCCGTGTGTTGAATATTCACACAGGGTCCTCTATTTATAATAGAAGAAATATGGGCTAAGCCCAAAATACAAATAAGAAATAATAACAAACTAACTAAAGATAAAAGATAAATATAAAATAAAGATAATATATCTAACAATTTTAATTTTGACAAACGCTTACTGAGAACCTCTAATGAGATAAGAAACTTCACATTGCTCATTTATTGATTAAATTGGTCCTTTGATGATTAATGACACAAGTTTTGTCCTTCAAAGACCAATGTGACGAGATTTCAAGGCCCATTTGAATGATGAAAACATCAAATTACCCATTTCATAGATTTTAAGGCCCATTTGAATACTCTTAAATTTCAATTGTGTGTAAATACAACACACACATACATATACATATGCATATGCATATACATACACACACACACACATATATATATATATATATATATGTATATATGTATGTATATATGTATGTATGTATGTATGTATATATGTATGTATGTATATTTGTTGTTGTTAGTAGGATGTTAAGTGCATTACTAGAAGTTGTTAGAAGATTGTAGAGATCTATTTGTAATTATTACTTTAGGGTTAGAGTTTTCTATATATATAGAGGTTGATGTACTATTTCATATTAATCAATTAAATAAGAATCTTCATTCTTTCAGATTAATCCTTTCAAGTTGGAATTAGAGCTCCCGATCTTGGGAGCCCTGCATCTGCTAATGTGATGTATGTCAAATTGCAAGGCACCATCGTGCCCATATCCTTCTAGTAATACAAAGAGTGTTCGTCCTTTTTATTTGGTTCATTCTTTCATTTGGGGCCTACATCAAACTCTAGTATTTGGTGCTAAATAGTTTGTTACTTTTATTGATGATTGTACCCTTGTTATATGAATTTTTCTCATGAAAGAAAAATCTAAGTGTTACCTTATTTGTTAGATTCTTCCGTATGCTAAAAACACAATCAAACTCTAGTGTATTTGGTGGTAAAAAGTTTGTTATATTTATTGATGATTGTACTCGTACGAAAGAAAAATCTGAAGTGTTACCTTATTTGTTAGATTCTTTCGAATGCTAAAAACACAATTTGGAAAGAATGTTTGGATTTTGATAATGGAAGGGAATGTAAATCATGCCATGTCTAAATTCCTTTCCGAGAATGGTGTTGTTTATGAATTCATATATGTGGACACACCACAACAAAGTGACATTCTGAAAGAAAAAATAGGCATCTTTTTGAAGTGACAAGGGCACTTCTTTTCCAAATCTGTGTCCCTAAATCTAATTGGGGAGAGGCTATCCTCACTGTTGCCTATCTTATTAAATGACTACCCTCTTGGGTTCTAGATGGCTTAAGTCCCATTGAGTCTGTGTCCTCCTTCTTTCCATCTATTCCCTTTCTCTCTAGTTTTCATAGTCGAGTGTTTGAGTGTATGTACTTGTCCATATCCATAGTCAATAGATTCTGAAGTTGTTAAATGCATATTCATTGGTTATGCATATAATAAAAAGGGATATTGTTGTTACCATTCTCTAAGTCGAAAGTTTTTTTACTTCCGTGGATGTTATTTTTGATGAAACTAAATCCTTTCACATGTGTCCTCAGCTTCAAGGGGAGATTTCTTTAGAAGCTAAGTATTTTGAATCTTTTGCTGTTTTAAATTGTTATATTTTTAGCTTTTTTTAAAATCTGTCATCTTCAATTATGTTCTCCAATTCTGTTTTACAATTTTCTTTATGCAGTTTTTTGCATATGTTATTTTGTCTGCCATACATTGGTTATATGCCCCCAACAACACCATCCTCCATATTTATACGGTGGAATTTTGGGCTGTCTGCCAACTCGCCATAGTCCAACATCCACCATCCACCATCCACCATCCACCATCGATCGCACTTCACCCTTCCCATAATGCATGAAGAAATGAAATGAAGTGGATGGAAATAGGTTAGAAAAATAGAGCAGAGAGAAATAAATAGGAAATAGGGTGGAATTGAGTTATTTGATTCAAGAGAAATTGGAAAAAAAAACTATTGTAAGGTTGTTGCGTGATATCGGAGAGGAGAAAAATTAGATTATGTATAAAAATTCCATTTTACCCCTTACACGCACACAAGTAATGGACAAGCCATTTAATTGATTATGCAATGATGACATTGCATATCAATGGGCAACAGAGTGTATTTAATATATTACTATTCTCATATAATTGATTACATACATTTCCTGGATGACAATTGCGTATCTAGGGACATCACCTGTCTTGATAAGCACCGTACTCTTCTTCCTTATCATTTCAGAAATATAGCCAAGCCAAGGCAAAGCCAAAAGAGTCATTATCTATTACTTAAAACTTTAGTGTTGATGTTTTGACCATCCAGCAAAGCAGAATGGAGCAGCCAATTGAAAAAGTAAGGGTAGTTTAGGAAAGTGAAGACATGTTGCCAACTTCTGGGTTTTTTCTCCGCACTTTAACAAGCAAATAACACAGTGGGGCCCTCCAACTACCAAACAAAGTTTATCCGCATCCTATTTCCGCTCTCCACTCAATTTTTAGCCTATTTGTATGCAACTAATTAAACGCAGTGACAGTGAGAGGAAACTGTTCAGGAGTTTTTATTGTAAAGTTTGCTAATTTGTTCCGTTGTTTAATGAACCTAAAGCCAAGCTAGAGGTTGGTTGTTTAGTATACCTTAAGGAATAAAGTATTCGTAAGCTTTAAATGCCAAGTTTGTAAACTTGTGAATTCCTCGTCTGTTTAATTAAGCTTAAAGCAAAGCTTGAGGCTGGTTGTTTAGTAATACCAATGAGTTTGACTAAACATTTATCTACAGATTGAAGATTGAATATTTAGGAATAGATTAAGTCATTACTACTCTGTGTTATTACCTATTAAACTGACTGTTTATGTTATGATTGCTTTTTTTTCTCTATTTAGGTTTAATTATGGTGAACACATGAGTTATGTACTGCAGCGCAATAATAGTCCTTGGGACACATTTTCTCTGTTTAGTTTCTGAATTCTCTACTTATGGCATTTTCAATTGGATATAGATATTTGCAGCAGCAAGTATTGTTGACAACTGACTACCATTTTTTCAATACATATTTCTACAAGAAGCTCAAAGAAGCCGTTTCATACAAGGTGATTAATTATCTTTTAATTCATTGCTGTATCTGCATGAACAGATTATTTTTCTTCAGGAAGTAGACTCTTAAGCATTATTATATAATGCATAATTGATTTCAAAACATTGCAAAATGTTTGCTGCATGACTAGTTTAAGTATCGGTTAATCAGATCTTGGTATTTTTGGTTGAGTTATTAAATTTCGGTTTTTCTTGATAGTTTTGAATGTATAAATCTGGGATTTAGCTAATGTCAGCAATGCATAAAATGTGAGTTGCTGACCCGATAACCTTCAACAACAAAACTAGTGACTTATACATTTTGTAGTTTTCTTGAAACTTACTTCATGTTGCTTTTTTGTGCCATAGGCAAGATTGGTTCTTTGTCAAGTTGTGGAATGCATGTAGCCTTGACTTGACTTGTAAACTTACAAGAGTTTGGCTCGTACAGAAATATCATAATCATAGTATTTGAACATCAATATAGTGCCAGAACTATAGTTAAAATCTAAATTTTACACATAAAATCGTAAGATCTTACAATTTTGCATAGTATTTCCGATTCAAATCTTCGAATCATGTGGATGGTCGTTTTTGTGTTGTCTGCTCCACCAACCGTTTACCTCTTTGGGTGTATGAACTCAGTTCAAGTAAAACCTAAAGCTAATTAAAAGTTAATGCAATTAAAAATTCACCTTGTTATGTGTGTTGTTAGCTGGCACCACTGCCCATTAAAAACTAATGCAATTAAAATTCACATTTTCTTTTGCAGCCGTAGCACTGGTTCACTTTCTTGGTGAATGGGGGTTTTAATTAAAACAAAATCCGAACCCAATTAAAAATTAAGGGTGTTTTGAGTTGCGGTGTTCACCTTCTTGACTTAATGGGTTTCAATTGAAATAAAAGCCAATTAAGGCACTTGTAAATTACAAACATCTCTCTTTATCACGTAACTTGCATTGGGTGCAAGTGCATTTCTCTACCGAAATACAATTAAATGTATACTTAATAAATTTAGATTTGGCAGTGTTCACCTAGCATGTATCTCTTCCCCTTACAAAATTCAAAGTAAAATCTACAATGTGTGTCATGATTTACAATTTTGTAAACCCTTCTGAATGCTAACCATACTTGATTTTAACTACCTTGGTACTATAAAATAATGAATATATGTGATTGTTATCGTCTAATTGATACCTTTTTCACATACACCATATGGGAGGTTTCCAAACCCAACATATTGTTCAAATTGCTCAATATATTCCCCTATAGGTCCAATTTGACGCAAGCCAAGCAAAACTTCAAATGGGTTCTGCAACCTTGTTGGCTGAAATCTTCTAACTATCGTATCTTTGAAGGCTTCCCATGTTGGATGCGGATGGCAGGTTTCCCACCATTGAAACCAATTCAAAGCTTTCCCCTCCAATGCAGCCATAACAACCTTCATTCGCTCCTCCTCACTAACCCCTTTCAAACAGAAATACTGCTCTAATCTATTGGTCCACCCATAAGCCTCGTCCCCTGCAAACACAGGAATGTCCAACTTCCTCCATGTGGCAGAAATCCCAACAAAACTTCCTTCTTCATTACCCCATTATCCTCATGGCTATCCATGGCAACAAAATCTTGGGCCTCTTGATGCTTACTAGAGGATGCCAGGCATTCAACCACCCCTGTCAGTCCTTGAAACATCTCTTCTAACCACTAGATGCGACAATTATTCTCGTGTTCTTGTTCGTGGACGATCTTCTCCAACCCATCCCATCTTGCCTCCATTAACCTTCAATATGCCCCCACTTCACCAAGAATGAGGCTTTGAATACCAAATGGTAGGTATTACAGACCTATACGAAACAACCTTAAAACATACACTAAGTTTCTTCCAAATGGAGAAATTGAAACAAACATACAACTTCTGGTTATTCGAGAGAACAAGACTCTCCACTTCCCTAGATTTACAGAACTTCCAAAAAACTAGATAAAAATTGCTAAAAAACTGCCCATGCAGACTTTATAAAAGTTTGAAAAACCTAAACTACCCCTTGAACCTATCAGATCTACATGATAGTCATTGGAAAGTTGTAATGCAAATCCTTCTATGCACAGAAAGCACACCATGTTGTAAACTAATATATGAATATGAAGGTAATTCCAAATCATTGGTTACTTTGGTGTGAATTGGACAAGATGACAGATGTCCAACTTTGGATATTGTGTTCTTATTGGAGGAAACTTGATCACTTGGAGGAGTAAATAGATACACTTAAGATTGAAAAGAAATAATTCTTGAGGGCTTAATTGATCCCTCTCACAATCTTCTATTTATAAGAATAAATTGATACACAAATACATGATAAATAGGGTAACCCTAGACACAATATAATCATGATAAATAGGGTAATCCTAGACACAATATAATCATGATAAATAGGGTAACCCTTGACACACTATAATGATGATAAAATAGGATAAATATCCTAACACTCCCCCTCAAGCTGGAGCATACAAATTGTATGTACCAAGCTTGGAACAAATAAACTCAATCCGAGGACCCCTTAATGACTTAGTCAATACATCTGCGAGTTGATCGTTTGACCCAATAAACTCAGTACATATTTCTTTGGTCAACAACTTTTCACGAACAAAATGACAATCAATTTCTATATGTTTAGTCCTCTCGTGAAACACTGGATTTGATGCAATGTGGAGAGCAGCTTGATTGTCGCAATACATCTTCATAGTATGGATGTCACAAAATTTAAGCTCTTGAAGGAATTGTTTCACCCATATAAGTTCACATGTTAATGATGCCATTGCCCTATACTCGGCTTCCGCGGTTGATCGAGCTACTACATTCTGTTTCTTACTTTTCCATGAAATAATGTTTCCTCCCAGAAAAACACAATATCCTGTTGTAGACCGTCTATCAATAGGTGAACCTGCCCAATCTGCATCACAATACCCAGAGACATGAATGCTTCCTTTATCTTCATATAACAATCCTTGCCCGGGAGCCTTCTTTACATACCTTAGAATGCGAATGAGAGCATTCCAATGGTCAACACATGGAGCCTGCATGAACTGACTAACCACTCCAACTGCAAAGGATAGATCTGGCCTTGTAATAGTGAGATAAATCAGTTTGCCAACCAGCCTCCTATACCTCTCTGGATCGGAGAATAATTCACCTTCTTCTGTCCTTAATTTCTGGTTTGGGTCCATGGGACTGTCTACCGGTCTACAATCAATCATGCCTGTTTCTTGTAATATATCAAGAGCATACTTCCTTTGGGAGATTACAACTCCATCTTTTGATTGCGCTACTTCAATGCCTAAGAAGTATTTGAGACTTCCAAGATCCTTGGTTTGAAAATGTCTACACAAGTACTCTTTTAGTTGAGATATTCCAACAGCATCATTTCCTGTAATGACAATATCATCAACATATACTATTAAGTAAACACATTTCCCGAGAGAAGAATGACAATAAAAAACTGAATGGTCTGCTTCACTGCGTTTTAGCCCAAATTTTTGAACAATGGAGCTAAACTTTCCAAACCAAGCACGTGGGGATTGTTATCTAATTGATTTACTTTAAATAAGTGGCAATACTGTAAAAAGTTCGTCCCCATATTGGCTATACTGAAAGGAGGAAAGAGGCCCTCCATCCCACTTGTAAATTACAAACATCTCTCTTTATCACGTAACTTGCATTGGGTGCAAGTGCATTTCTCTACCGAAATACAATTAAATGTATACTTATAAATTTAGATTTGGCAGTCGTTCACCTAGCATGTATCTCCTTCCCCTTACAAAATTCAAAGTAAAATCTACCAATGTGTTGGTCATGATTTACAATTTTTTGTAACCCTTCTGACTGCTAACCATACTTGATTTTAACTACCTTGGTACTATAAAACTAATGAAAGAAACACAAGATCGCCACCTACCCCTCCCTTCTGTCTCTTCTCCACTTCTCTGTCATGTGATGGGTTATCGTCTAATTGATACCTTTTTCCATACACCATATGGGAGGTTTCCAAACCCAACATATTGTTCCAAATTGCTCAATATATTCCCCTATAGGTCCAATTTGGACGCAAGCCAAGCAAACTTCAAATGGGTTCTGCAACCTTGTTGGCTGAAATCTTCTAACTATCGTATCTTTGAAGGCTTCCCATGTTGGATGCGGATGCAGTTTCCCACCATTGAAACCATTCAAAGCTTTCCCCTCCAATGCCGCCATAACAACCTTCATTCGCTCCTCCTCACTAACCCCTTTCAAACGGAAATACTGCTCTAATCTATTGGTCCACCCATAAGCCTCGTCCCCTGCAAACACAGGAATGTCCAACTTCCTCCATGTGGCAGAAATCCCAACAAAACTTCCTTCTTCATTACCCCATTATCCTCATGGCTATCCATGGCAACAAAATCTTGGGCCTCTTGATGCTTACTAGAGGATGCCAGGCATTCAACCACCCCTGTCAGTCCTTGAAACATCTCTTCTAACCACTAGATGCGACAATTATTCTCGTGTTCTTGTTCGTGGACGATCTTCTCCAACCCATCCCATCTTGCCTCCATTAACCTTCAATATGCCCCCACTTCACCAAGAATGAGGCTTTGAATACCAAATGGTAGGTATTACAGACCTATACGAAACAACCTTAAAACATACACTAAGTTTCTTCCAAATGGAGAAATTGAAACAAACATACAACTTCTGGTTATTCGAGAGAACAAGACTCTCCACTTCCCTAGATTTACAGAACTTCCAAAAAACTAGATAAAAATTGCTAAAAAACTGCCCATGCAGACTTTATAAAAGTTTGAAAAACCTAAACTACCCCTTGAACCTATCAGATCTACATGATAGTCATTGGAAAGTTGTAATGCAAATCCTTCTATGCACAGAAAGCACACCATGTTGTAAACTAATATATGAATATGAAGGTAATTCCAAATCATTGGTTACTTTGGTGTGAATTGGACAAGATGACAGATGTCCAACTTT